CTCTCTCTCTCTCTCTCTCTCTCTCTCTCTCTCTCTCTCTCTCTCTCACACACACACACACACACACACACACACACACACACACACACATGCAGAGGCCGGGGTAGCATTTCAGGAGTGGATCATCTTTGTCCAGCTCTTCACTGCTATGCTGTGTGTACGTCAGGCTATCTGGCGAGAGAGTTTCTTGCCAGTTCTCTAGTGATAAGAAATCTCACCGCTGCCTCCAGCTTTTTCTGTAAGTGTGAGCTGTGGGGATGGATCTCAGGGTATCAGGCTTCCAAGTCAACGTCTTTACCCTCTGGGCCATCTCCTTCGCCTCTCAAGGATTACGGGAGTGTGCTATCAGTCCTAGCCATATGGATATATTGATAACAGCAACTGTTAATGATTAATTTTATTGCTTCACTTTAAAGGCTGTCCTGGAGCCCCCAGGCAGACCCAGGCTCTCTGGGATGAGCTCCTAGTCCAGCCAGCTATCCTGGGGCTATGAAGGACACATCATGTCCACCACTCATTCTTCTATAAGGAGAGCATCTTCCTGGGGTTTGCGCATGAAGAGGAAGGACTTAGGCTCTGAGTCTCCGGAGCTGGTATTTGAACTGCTTCTTTTTCTCTAAGCCTGGTTTCTACTTTTGTACAGGGGCATCACAAGAATACCTGTCTGGTAATACAGTTTTAGTATTAAATGGAACAGTGTACAGAATATACCTAACACGAGACATGACTGGCTATGGTCATCAGGGTGCAGTTCAGTATTTCAGGATTAAATGAGACTTCCAGAACCTGGAGATGTCATCTGCAGTTCAAGCTGTGACTGGATGAGAAGGAAAGCCAGTTGCTTCACATGTGCATCCTGAGAGTATCTGACTGTAGTAATGCGTGCACACTGAAAGGGCCCACAGCTTATAACACCCGTCTGCACAACCACCAGCCTGTAAAAGCCCCACCTTACAGATGAGGTAAGGGAGGCTCACGGAACCCACTGAACTTACCATGTCACACAGCCAGTCACCCAGCCAGTCTGTCTCTCACCCAGTTCTACACAGGGGTCATTTCCCAGGTTTACCCGCATCAGATGAATGGTACTAGCAGAGCCATTTTCCCTGTGGAGGCTGCCCTTAGCAAATGGTTCACCTTAAGACAGGAATTTATAATTCCTGGCCTGTGAAGGAGAACAGGAACTTTGGAATCAGCAAAGTTTACTAACCTGTAAGGCCAGGGTTGGAGAGATGCCTCAGTGGTTAAGAAGACTGGCGGCTATTCCAGGACTAAGGTTCAAATCCCAGCACCCACATGGCAGCTCACGACTGTCTGTAATTTCAGTCTCGGGGGCTTTGATACCCTCACACAGACATTCCGGGCAGTACCATGTAGCCTGTCTCCTTGGTTTTCATGAGCATCAAATGCATGGAGGAAAGTGCTTAATGAATGTTAGTGCTGTGGTATTCAGCGTGTGGTTGATAATGAGGCTCTGGGGCCTCCTCAACCTTTCAGGAGAGTTGATGAAGCTGCCCTGAGGTGCAGGGCCTGGCGGTGCATGGCCTGGAGCTCAGCTGCATTTCAGCACAGCAGATGAGAGGAGTCCCAGGGGATCCATTTCTCAGGCCGCACAAAGGAATGAGATAATACCAGTGTTTTCTTAAAGCTTCCAGATTAAACAAAGATGATGGGGGTCCAAACGGCCTTTTAAATTTGCTGCCTGTCTAAAGCACACAGAGAAAGAAGGTTCTCTGAGCCAAGTCCACATTCAGTCACATGGGGGTCATTCATGTCATATGGTTCTTCTGCCTTATCATATTATCTTCCCACTTGCTGATGAATGCAGAGTGCTTATAAAAGGCACTCCTCCATTAAAACCATCCAATACACATGAAGAAGCTGTCAAGAGGGTTACAGAACCGATTTCTTTTTTTAGTATTTCCAGGAAAGGGGGAACATAAATTCTGCTGAAGTCATTTAAAGTCATAAACCTTTAAAATGTTTGCAGTGCGTACTACTGATTGGAGTTTTCCAGTTGACTTAGGCCATGGTGCACCACAATAACGCAGCCTCTCTGTGGCGCCAGGGAAATGGCACCTCTGAATGGTTTCCAACTGACATTGCTCAGAAAAAGGTTATTTTTCTTTCATGGCATTGATTTCTTAAGTAAATCATTTGACTCTGGAGTCAAAAGAAAATGGAATCTTTGCTTAAGTTAGTTTTTGCAAGGTTTGCAAAGGTTTTTTGTTTGTTTGTTTTTGTTTTTTTGTTTTTGTTTTTAACAATACATCAAAAGTACATCCTGCGATCGATGGGGATGTAGCCCAGTCAGGAGAGTATCTGTCCAGCATGAGGAGGCTCTAGAGTTCATCCTCATCGTGGGGCTACACGCCTGTAATCTTGGCATGTAGGAGGTAGAAGCAACAGAATAATAATAATAACAACAATAATAAAATTCAGGTCATCCCCACTACAGAGTTTGAAAACAATGTGGATTATTGAGACTTTGTATCAAAAGAATTAAAAAGATGAAGCTGGGCAGTGGTGGCGCACACCTTTGATCGCAGCACTCAGGAGGCAGAGGCAGGCAGATCTCTATGAGCTGGAGGCCAGCCAGGTCTACAGAGAGTTCCAGGACAGCCAAGGCTACACAGAGAAGCCCTGTCTTGAAAAAAACTTAAATGATTTTTAATTTTGAGGGGGGGAATTCCTCTGAGAAGCTGTACCCAGCAGCTGACTCAGACAGATACAGACACTCACAGCCAAACAGTGGATGGAGCTTGGGGACTCTTAGGGAAGAACAGGACGAAGGATTTTGGCCTCTAAAGGGATAAGAACTCCACAGGAAGACCAGAAGAGTCAACTAACCTGGACCATTGGGGCTCTCTGAGATGGAACCACCAACCAAAGATCACACACGGGCTGGACCTAGGCCTCCCTGCTCATATGTAGCAGTTTGGTCTTCATGTGGGTCCTGAACAACTGGAGCCAGGGCTATCCCAAAAGCTGTTGCATGTATGTGGAAATGTTCTTCTAGCTGGGCTGCCTTGTCTGGCCTCAGTGCGAGAGGATATGCCTAGCTTCACAGGAATTTGATGTTGCAGGATGGGAGGGATACCCAGGAGGATCCCCATGAGCTCAGAGGGAAAGGTGGTGGGGGTTAGGGGTAGGACTGCGGGAGGGGGGAACTAGGAGGGAAACAACGAGCAGGATGTAACATGAATTAATAATAATAATAGATTTAAAACTATTTTAAGTGCATCTTGTTTCCCACTCTCAAGCACTATATCACAGGTTTGCAGTTTGTTGTAGTCTAAGAATTGGCCTTCAAAGCCCTCACAGTCCTTGCTATGTACTGAGCCTCTTTGTCAGTTAAGAACATCCACTGCTCACACTATCATCCAGCAAAAATGCCCCGGTCTCCCACACACATGGGGAAGCTATTATGTTTTCCACCTTCTGCTCCTATTCCTACTCCAACTTGCAAGTTCCAATTTTGGGAATGACAATGTGTCAGCTGAACATGCTGGAGGAAACCTTTATTCTGTCCTTACCCATCCTGCTGTTTGCGTTTCAATGCCCTTTAGCGCTGTCAAGTAACGGGATCTGTCACCAAGCCTGACGGTCTGAGTTTAAATTCCCATGACTCATATGGTAGAGAGAATCAACTCTTGCAGATAGTCCTCCACCTTCCACACATAAGCTGTGGCATACATGCACACACACACACACACACACAAACAAACACAAACACACTCACACCCCTATTCCTCTAGGAAAGTCTTTATAAACACCATGGCCTAGATTAGACCCTGGGGTTTTCTGTTCCACCAGGCCCTGAATTCTTCCTCCATTATGCTAACAATTAAGGCTACCTTTGTATTTGTGTAAGTATATACTTAATATATGTGTAATCCTCCAAAGAATGGTGCATTTCTCTTTGCCCATGAACCTGAGCACAGAATGAAGACTTTAAAGACAAATGAACCACAGAGGCACAGGACTTACTGCACAATTTGTTCTGGAACACTGAGGTCAAGGACTCAATCTGGCTGAAATTGGCCACCAGGAAGACATGGTCCTTGTGGGGCTCACTCCCAATGGCCTTTAGGGTATTCAGGTCCACCTGACCCACACCGATGGCAAAGATCAGGATGCCTGTGTTCCGGGCCTTGGAGGCCACCTCAGCCACTGAGTCCTGAGGCCTCCCATCAGTCACAATCATTATGACCCGTGGCACATTCTCTCGCAAGGGCCGGGCCCCCTCTGCTTCTGAGAAGGCAATGTTGAGGGCATATTGGATGGCCAGCCCTGTCATGGTGCCAGTGGATAGATGCCTCATTCTCTTGACAGCCCTCTCCACCTCAGACTTCCTTTTAAAGGTCTTCAGGGAGAATTCATTCTTGACCGTGCTGCCATATTGGAGCAGACCTACTCGGGTAACATCAGGACCAATATCCAAGAACTGCAGAATATCCAGAATGAACTCCTTGACCTTCGCATAGTCATGGGTGTTGACACTTCGGGAGCTGTCAATGATGAACACCAGATCTGCTCGCTTATTCTCACAGGAACTCTCTGGGGAAAGAGCAGAGGTCACAAGTATCAGAGGAAGGAGTGTTCAGATTTGCTCTTCTGCTGCTGTAATAAAATACTGGCCCCAGCCAAGTGGTTGTGGTGGATGACTTTAATACCAGCAGAGAGAGGCAGATCTCTGTGAGTTCAAGGCCAGTTTGGTTTACTGAGCTAGTTCCAGTTCCAGGACTAGCCAAGGCTACACAAAGAATCCCTGATTCAAAAACCCAAACCAAACCAGTACAGTGACCGAGCATGGCCAGCACAGTGCTAGGAGGCTTCGCCCTTCTTCCCCATTCCCTCTGCCTTGCTGAAAGCTGTTAGATTACACTCCTAAAGCTAGCTCCTAAGGTTTAGTCCTTCACTTGGACCTCCTCCTAAGGCTGACTACTAAGGTCCAGCTACCAAAGTATTGAAGCCCAGCAATCAAAAGCCTTCTTTGGCTACCTAATTACCATGCTCAATTAAAATTAAATACCTCATCCTAACGTGCCCCTCCCTTGTTAGGGGAAAACTGCCATTTTCCTGAGTGCCACACCTGTCACTTCTCTATCCAGATGCCGTCCTTTGTCTCACCCCAGGACAAATGCCCCTTCCCCCTCTCCTTTGCCCTCTTTTTCTCCTGTCTCTTGCTCCCTCCTTTTCTCCCTCATCTCCTGTCTGTGTTTCTTATCCCTGCCCTCTGTCCCTCTGGGGCAAAGAACTTGTCTAGAGAACTTGGTCGTGGGGATCCTGAGCTGATACTTTTTTTTCCAATGGAGAAGGGGTTTATTGGCTTACAGGTTATAGTTCAATATCAAGGAAAGTCAAGGCAGAGACTGTGGAGAAACACTACCTATTGGCTTGCCTCTCCTGCCTGTCCCTTCTACTTTTCTTATACAGTTTGGGCTGCATTGCCCAGGGACTCCCACAGTGGGCTGGGTCCTTCTACATCATCAGCACTCAAAATCATGTCCCCACAGACATGTCCACAGGCCAGTCTGATGGAGACAACTTCTTAGTTGGGTTTCTCTTTCCCAGGTATATGTAAGTTTTTGCCAAGCTGAGCAGAAACAGTGATAAGAGGTAAGGATCCAATTCGAACTGACTCTTGTAGGAAATCCTGAGACCCAGGAACACCTTTAGAACCTCCAAAATTCAGTTTTATTCTTATCCAGGAAAGTTCTCAGGCATGTCTGTGTATACTAGATGCTAATGACCCTAGTCTACACAGAGCGTTTCTTTTTGCAAGATAAATCTGCAAAGTCACCAATGCAGTTTCAGTCAAACCCTTTATCAGAGTCAAATGTGATTTGTTATTTGTAGCATAGTATGTAAGTTTGACAAGCCACTGCAGAGAACACAAAAGATGCTTTAGAGGGTCCAACATCATGGCTTGCAATCTATCTTGGAAGATGGAGCTAAGAAGCCAGAAAATGAATAGCAAGTGTTAAACCAAGTTTTAACAACAGACTTTAAGCATGGGGGAGCGATAGCTCAGCAGTGAAGAATACTTGCACAAGACCTGGGTTTAATTCCCACCACCCACATCGTGGCTAACAATTGTCTGTAATTCCAATTCTATGGAAATCTGACAATCTCTCCTGGCCTGCAAGGCCAATGCATGTATAAAATTCACAGACAACACATAGAATAAAAATAAATACATCCTTTTTTGAAGGAGGGGGAGGAGAAGGAGGGAGGGAAGGAAGGAGGGAGAAAGAGTAAGGCAGACCTCAGAGGCTGAGGTCAAAGAGATGAGGCCTGAGCTGCCTTGTGAATACAGAACGTTTGGCTTGAAAGAATATTTGGAGAGTGGCTCGTGAACATAGTCCTAGACAGGATAAATGCGGTGGGAAACTAAGTGAAGCTCTAGAACCCAGAGGACACTAGGAACTACTGGGTGGGGTTAGCTGAGAATATTCTGAAGCCAACTATAAAAAAACTTTTCAAGTCAGACTCAGAAATCTGTACACAGGTCACAGACGGCGTGATGTCTTAGCACAATATTACATAACATCTCTTGCAGGGAAGTTGCATGATTGCCGCCAACTGAATCAAAGCTTGCAGATGCATGCAGCTTGGTGGTAGAGGACATGACACTTATGAGACCCTGAGTTAAATCCTCAGCATAGAAAAAAAAGTCAACTGGATTTGAGCCTTGCAGAGGTTCCAGACAGATAACTCACTCTGCTGTTGGAATTCCTGAGAGATGAAAGCTACAACCTGCTACTTCCCCCTTCTCTACGCCCGCCCTGGACTTTGCAAGTCAAGCAGGATTTGAAAGAGATTAAAAAGATCCCAAGTCCTCGCCCTAAATCCCACCCACCACAGCTGCAAGAATGAGACAGAAAGCCACCGACTAAGCAGTGAAGCCAGGCGTCAGGATGGAAAGCCATCCTGCCCAGGCCAGCTTGCCAGGTGGGGACTTGCCATGCAGAGCTGGCATAGACACCTGTCCACTGCTGCCATACAAGCCCAACAGTCAGGAGAGGGTAGATTCTCCTCAATAGCCTGGCAGGAAGGCGCATATAACATATCTCCATATAACACCCAAATCCAGTACTGGGATCTAGGTATAAGGAGAGTTTCTCAAGACAGAGGCCCCCACATTCACAAGATGTTCTAAAGATCCTTTTCAGAGTAATTTCATCATAGGTACCTAAGTTCATTCTCAGAACAAGCTACTGAGAAAAGTACTAAAATTGTGCCCATTTTGTAGATGAGAAAATAGAGGTGCTGAAGAGTTTTTTAAGTCTTTCATAATTCAGGAAAAGAGAAAACACACAGAGATAACACCAATTCCCAGCTCTCAGGGCAGCTATGAGCAAGGAGCTCCAGGCAATAGCCACATAGGCAAGCATGTAGATTCTCCTCAGCCTACCCTCCTCTCCAAATTCTTTCTTCTTCCTTAACTCTTATACTCAGCTCAAGGATGGGCAAGAGCAGGACTAGCGCTTATAGTTGTTCAGTTGGCACTAGATATAGACACCCACATACACACACCCAAAAAAGGCAGGGGAAATAAAAAACCAGGTAAGCCCTGAGCTCCAAAGGTGTGAGGGGGCATAATGTAGCGTTTGGCCCTAGGCTGGAGCTAGACACTGTCAGGATGGCCCAGGTCAGTTCCCCTCCAGAAGCCACACCTGCCTACCTCTTCTAAGTAAGTCTGAACTTATTTCTGGGATAATGGTCCTGTGGTCTCTACCTGCTGAGGAGATCAGGGAATCTGACTGACTTCACCATAGACAAGGATTTAATGATTCAAAGGAAGGAGACCCCACAAAGGACTAAATCACTGAACGCTCTCCTCCCCTAGGGACATTTGCTCAAACTGAGGTTTGTACTGTGAGTCTTACCCATGGCATCCACATCCCACTGAGCATCATAATTTGAAGAAAACCCTGGAAGGTCCATGCGGAATTGTGCACTAAACTGAATTAGTTCCCATCAAAACAAATGGATAGTTTCCACAATGCTTGGGACACAACAGAAATATCACAATGGTTCAAAAATGTGGTTAAGAAGTCCCACGAGAGCTGAAATCAGGTGGTAGCAGTCTACCTGTAAGAACTCAGACAAGCTCAGTATGTCCCTAGAAGGCTAACTCAGTGGTTCTCAAACCTAAGCATGCACCCTGGTTCTCTGCAGCACTCGTTAAAAGTCAAAGCACCGAGCTGCATCCCTAGAGCTGCGGACTCCGAGTGTGGAGAAGCAGATGAAAACTTGCCTTTCTAACAAGTTGAATGGTAATGTTGATGTTCCTGGCCCAGGGATCATGATCTGAGAATGCTAGAAAGTAAATCTCTGGAAATAAAAAGAATTCTGGTATGTCCTGACTTCACTGCCTCACTGTGAGTTCTACAAGGCGGGACTCTGAAGTGTGTGTGTGTGTGTGTGTGTGTGTGTGTGTGTGTGTGTGTGTCTGTGTGTGTGTGTGCATGTGTCTGTGCATACACATGCATGTGTACATGAGTGTGCATCCATGTGCCTGTGTGTGCACATATATGTGTGTGTGGGCATGCATGTGTTATGTGTGTGTGTGCATGCATATGTGGTGGAAATACAGTGAGTATTCCACTACATCAACATCTGTAGAATTAAGTGAAATTTCAGGTGGTAAAATAAGGCTTCATATGAAAGAAACTGAGTCAGGGCAATCAGCCTTAAAGCTAGGGAGTCCAGGGTGTAACTTTTGGTTGGTATGGTGTAACCAGGGGTGCCTCCTGTTGGTATAGTGTGACTTCAGCCCCTACACTTACACACAGCACCATCAGGGCTGGACTCTCAGTTCATGGACTCCAGACTAATGAAATGTAAGCCAGAAGATCCCATGTAGAGGTAAGTCACCCACTTTACAGAACAGCAAGCTGAGGCTTATGAAAATGGCCCTCCGTTGCAAGGTCTTGAGGCTTACTATAGTCAGGCTGAGATGGTAACAGTAGCTTCTCTATCATTTCAAGGTCCTCTTAACACATCCTCAAGGCAGATAACACAGCAATATGAACTTTGCAAATGCTTGAGAACACCAAAATACTTCCTGTGAAAAGCCCTGTAGCTTCTCCACAATGGCCAGTTGAGAGAAGTTTCCAGAAAAATGAACTCTCCTCTGAGTGATCCCCTCATGTTAATTACTGGTGCTGAGGAAGGATGCCCCTTCTCCTCAGCCTTCAGAAAGAACACACAATGATCTTCCTCTTGGCCCCTCATGACAGGACTTTCAGCCGCACTTGGATGAGGATTTGTGAGCACATAATAAAATGTCATCCCTCTCGCCATTAAGCAACGATCTGGACTCTGTCAACTACACTCCCAATCTTGTCATCTGGACTCAAAGTCCTGGCATTGAGAAAATAGTCTCTTGCCCTTCCAAAGAAGGAGAATCTGGGCCAGGAGAATTTTAAGAACATTTCTGCCCTGCTGGGTGACAGTGTGCAATCTCACAACTATTTCCTCTCCTTAGGCTGAAGATTTGTCACTGCTGGCACTAGCTAAGGTCAACCACACGTATGTGGCAGCCTGGT